CTGTGAAGCAAGTCAGACCGTGTGGTAAAAATAAATAAATGTAAAAAAAAAACAATACAATAAAAATAAAAAAATAAAGATTATGTATGATATATGGCATCAACAGCCACGACGTAGATACAACATAGTAGTGCTATGAAGTTAACATTAACGTTATAAAACACAATCAAGTCCACGACATAAGCGGTGTTAAGTATTAACAACTAGGCTATTGCACCTCAGAATCACAGAGCCTGTCCCGTAAACTTTGTTGCTAGCGGATCATGGGAACACCAACACATAACATAACCCATATGAACGGAACATTACCAGGTCAGACTTAACATAAACTACTGTCTTATTTATTGTTGATGAGTCAATACTGCCAAAACAAACATTCCGAAACAAATATACGTTGTGTATGGCTCGTTGTATCACGGTAGCTTAAAAACCACAGGCTGCTCGGAAGCGGACCAATGCCAACTGAATCGTTGACAATTATGTGCATTCAAACACACGTTAGCATCCGTGTTTAAAACATGGTTATACATGAATAATATACAACTTGCAGAAAACTCACCGGCTTCGACGCTTTCATTGAGCAGAGCAGTTTCTTTTACGCCTCTACAAACTCTCCGCCATCTTCGACAGGCTCGTGTTTGTTTAAATGAGAAACACTCCCAGAGCAGAAGGAGCCAGCTTGTAGCATAGCGAAGGGGCCTCTGGGTAATGTAGTTGCTTTTCTTTGCGAGGCGCATCAAACCGTGCTTGACGCGTTATGCAAATGAACTACACGTACGCTAATACCCACAGCTGATATGAGCAGCAGTCACTGATATTATTAGAGGCCACATTTAAAAATGTATTTATAGGCTGGCAGAACATCAGCTTAATGCAAATGACTTATAAGACCCATAGAATATCAGTATGATGCTGTTTAGTTTACATAAAATTACAAAAATACTTTTTCACAAAAACTAAAGATTGGATTTTCCATTTCGAATTTATTTAAGGAACATGTAATTTTTTTTTTTTTTTTTTACTGAAGCACAGTCTAAAAAGCTCTCTGTTTTTTCAATATTATTTTTCTGGGGCATTACAAATGTCTCAATTATGATGGTAAAACGTTGCCCCTGACCTAAATTAGGGCAAATACACTGACAAGATATTAGTTCACAGTGATGTTTTATGTACCCTGTATTGTTAAACAGAGCACCCATCCCCTGCATCACACCTGGCCTTTTAGAACCTTGCAGTCATCACAGCAATAAAATGACCACACTCACAAACACCATTAAGTAAAGCATGATACCTCACACATTTAGGGTTTGCGGTCAGTTATTCTAACTAGAGTGAAGCCTCTGTGGTTATTCAGGAGCCAGAAAAGATGGAAGAAATGGTCACTGCAGCACACTAGTGTTAGGTATTTTTAGTCAGATAGATATTGGATAGATACTTTATGTATTAGAAATGTTTAGTGGAGATAGGATGTCTAGTTAGACTGTTAAATGCTTAGGCCTGCTTATGAGTTTCTACAGGGTACTTCTGGTCAAGGATATTAGAGAGAAGAGTTGATGACTGTCAGCAGACAGGGTGTTTAATATTATTATTACGACGTGTATAACTGTAGCCTTAGCCATAATATGTTCTTATGTTTAAGACACGACATGTACTAGAGGTCGTGAGAATGTTTTTAGTTACACACCACTTAATCAACAGACACACACACATTCACACATTGATTTGCTTCATGTTTTGACTATGGCTAGGGCCAGCTGCAAAGCTGGCAACAGAGACGTCCCGGTTGACGTTTCTGTGTAGTATGGGGATAGCCCAACCGAAGTGATAAAATGTATAGGCCTGGTGGGTTCAGGGTCTTTCATCTTACATCTGCCTGTGTGCATGTTGGAGGTGCAAGATACTTGAGCGTGTAATGTTAATTTTACCTGTGATCCTTTGAATAAATCAGCACTGTTTTGAAGTTACTTGGACTGCCTCATCTCTCAGAGTTAGCATGGTAAGACGGACCATATCCTACACTAGTTTTAAATTTTTACTAGGGGGGGAATGAGGGCCTAAGATAGAAGGTGAGCAGCAGGATGGGGGTGAAGGAAGTGAAGAAGTGTAAAATACTAGGAAGTTACTTGCTTATTACTGTCTGAACATAATCTTCTCTGTCAATCAACACAAAAAAATGACATGGACAAAAAGAAAAGGCATGTATGGAGAACAGAAATATCCTCAAAGTTTACTTGGTTACAGCATAGCTGCTGAGAAGGCAGTGAAGTTCATTGCCAGTGTCGCAGCATTTTCCCTCATATGCAAAGTTCACAATGAGAACTGGCTATTGTTGGCAAGACACTGGCTCTTCCCTTAAGTGTCATACAACTTGTAAATTTGGATAACAAGTTGTAGATTTAAAAACATTTCTGAAGCAAACCATGACTACATATCTGTTTTAGGTATATTTTTTGCTAGAGGTTTCTTGATAATTTATTGCATGATGTTAGGTATTTTTTAGTCAGATAGATATTGGTTAGATACTTGTTGTATTAGAAATGTTTAGTGGACACAGGATGTCTAGCTCAGGCTGTTAAATGCTTACTCATTTCCAGGAGTTACTCAAGGTTGTTTATGTTCCAGGATAACTAGATAGAAAGTGGCTATTGTATGATATGTTTAGCTGTAATCTTAATCATAATATCTTCCTAGGCTTAATGTCCGGACATGTCCCTGAATGTCCTGTATGTTCTTAGATACACACCACATAATCAACACTCACACACATTGATTTTCTCCATGTTTTGACTACTGCTACGGTCAGCTGTGAAGCTGGCATATCAGGTGACGTCACGGTTTGACGTGCCTGTGTAGAATGGGGTTAGCCCAAACCAGATATAATGTACAGGCCTGTTGGGTTCGGGGTCTTTCATTCTTCATCTGCCTGCATGCAGTATTGGAGGTGGAAGGTGCCTGGACGTGTAATGTTAATTTTACCTGTGATTCTTTGAATAAACCAGCATGGTTTTTTTTATATATCCAAGTGGTCCGCTTCGTCTCTCTGAGTTCCTGGTTAAAAGAACTGGGAAATATCTTTCAATGATGAAATAACCAAGAGTAAAAAAGTTTTTGTTTTGTGTATTTTTAGTCTGTTTGTATGACTGCTTGTGTGAAAGAGCCTCAATTACATTCCATAGAGACCCAATGAGGGGCCCCGTGGCCCTCTGTTTGTGCCCCTTCCCCCACAAAACACGACAAACTGACCTTCCCCCTCAGTGACTGTAAGACACTTTATCCCCTCCCCACTTGCCCTCTCTAGTTTGAAAGGACAGGAGATAACAGTTTGAAAGGACAGGAGATAGCCCCACAATCATTAATGCATTCAGATGGGTTTACCTGCAAACAGCCCACAGCATGCCTTTCTTGGCTGCAAACCCACTCCCATCCCCCAATTTCTCAACACTATGCAGATGCAAAAAAGCTCAAGAAACAGCAAGATATTGCATGATCATTATCAGCTGTAACACAAGCTATAACTAAACAGGATGACAATAAACAGACAAACTGTTTTTGAGATTTCTTTTCCAAACAGTTTAGATACACATCCACTGGTTAATAAATAGTGTGCACTGCACTGGGTATAATACCGTGTGTCTAAAAAGTTTTCAAAGTTCAATACAGCATAATGATTGTCTCATTAGTTACCAGTGTCATTTCAGTTGTTTTTATTAAGTGTGCAAGAAAGCGATACAAAATGAGGAAAATCTGTGGTACAAATTGGCCTTGTATTGTCTATTTAACTAAGCTAATGTAATACCCCAATTCTTTTATTGGACAGATCTGAATAAGGAAGGAGTCTGTCTTTCTTCATTTAGTGCTGATTTATTTTAAACCACAAGTAAAATTACAAAACATAACCTGGGTTGTTCATTCCTCCAGAGAACACACATATTCTGGCTGCTGGAGAGAAGAGCTCCTGGCCACACAGAGCCTAATACATTTATAAGTTTTGGGCTAACCCCTTATACAGACGGATAAAAACATCACGAGATGGAGTCAGTCCGACAACTCCATCCCCTATCTTATGCTCTACATGCTTCGAGCAATCTAGTCATAACAAAATGAGGAATCTCAATGTGTAGCTAAACATTCATTCAGACATAATATTCTAACACAAGATTAATACAAGAAAACAATTGGTGCCATGGTTCACTTTTCAGAATCAACAACCTCAGCTAACCTTGAAATAAAGCAGACTAGAGTAGACTTTAAATATTACTAAACTGCATTACTTACACATCTGATTCAACACATTAATGTCTAATAATTATCTGACTGATTTACTAATATCTAACACTAACACCAATCATTAAACATAGTAAAAACAGAAAATTACACCCATGCTTTTTAAACACACGACTGGTGTAAAATAAAGAAAAGCTACATTAATATAATGTGTCTGACATTGTTTTAACTTTTCAAGATTATTGCCACAGAAACCAGAAGTCTGTAAGTCCTATGAAAAATGACTCAGTGGTTTCAGTGGTCCCTTGTGATTGATCCCATATGTGTGTCTCAAAGAATATGGTCTCAAACTGTGGGTAAAAAGACATTTTACAGATTACTACATACTGTAGTTTTCTGCAGACTTTTCATTGTTAGCTCAGATGAATGGCTTTTAGTGAAAAATAAAAGAATAATGGTGCATCAGAAAACAGCATGGCACCAATGACATTTATTTCATGTTTATAATGCGTGCACTGAGAAAAAAGCACGTATTGCTTGTTCTGATCATTGACGGTTCTGATACTGGAGCAGTGAAAGTCTGACTAGGGCGCCACCTTGGGGGCTGAAGGAACATCAAACGGTATAGTGGAGACTCACAAAATGTGACAGTATATACTGTACATGCTAGCTTTATATGTGTCGCCAGAATAAAAATGCTCAATGGTTAATACAACTTTGAAATTGATCTAGTGTTTTCAGGACGCCTGACATCTTAGAATTGCTTATTGTGTCCATGCAGGGCACCCAAAAGAGCAATTAATTAACAGTGGCTTCACTTAGGCTATGAGCTAATTAAGCCACGTTACAAGTTAATTATGCATGTGAGATGTAAAAATGGACTCAGGGTCCCAAATCTTTAAAATGTCTTTAGTTGAAATTAGGAACCGCAACGTTATTCACTGTTTATTTTTGTCATAGTTAACTACACACATTTTAGTTGTGCATGTGGCTGTAAGTTAGGTAAAGATAGCAGCGAAGCAGACAAGCTAGCTAAATCAAAGAGTAGCTAGCTTTATTACGAACTAACACTAGTGGGATAAACAGACTTAGCATACTTAATTTGCTGATAGTACATTGAATGCTTTATTCATTCAAGGCCATTTCCCACCAATTTAAGAATTAGACCTGCTAGTTTCTTAGACTTATTCCGCTGCCTTGAGTCAGTGCGTCTTGGCCCGCGGTAAAGGACTCATACTGTTGGTAAACCCTTGGAGAGATGCCCAAAAGCCCCAAAGCGAGGTTGGATAACTAACGCTAAATTCACATTTGTCATTTGGTTTGTCTAATTTTGGAGTCCTGCTTCAAAATGTAGTTGTAAGACATGTCTTGTTGATATTGTTCTAAGATTAGGCACATTTCTAAATAAATGTGTTTCACTAAACAGCTAATCTGAGGGCAGGTAGTATTCTAATATAGAATTACTGATTTGGTTTAAGATTTATGACTCACACAGCACCCAGAGAGTGGAGGAATGGGGTGTGGAGTCCCACAGCCCATTTCTGCCTTTGGGTCTCCCTTGTAGATAAATCTGACCCACTGACTGCATGAATATTTTATATATATTATATTTATATACATATATATTTTCTTATATTTTATACAGTCTATGATCTGACCATGTTCAGGAGTCCAAATCTAAATGAGGATTTCTTTCTTTCAAAGATCTTTTGCACTCAACAGGTTCCCAATGAGTGAATACATAATCACTACAGTGATGTAGGCCTCACAGCTCATTATTATCCACTCTACATAATACACTTTTATTCTTCCCCTGCTTAATCATAGCAACAAATCTATTGGGCTTTTTAAACCAAGTCTATCAAGCAGACTACTGGGTTTACTTTGTGCTTTTGGTGGTTTGTTGACAAATTGTGAGAATCTCTGAACTAGTGTGTAGTCTGCAGTTTTAAAGGATTCCCACATGAGGTCGCTACAGTCTTCTTGTTCAAGTGGCCATCAGATATTATAAAAAAAACAAAAACGGAAGATTGTTAGCATTATCACCACCGACCACCAACTGAAATGAACAATGAATTTTGGTATAATCTTTTACCTACAGAGAAGCAATGATTCCCAACCCCAGGTCCAGGTCCAGAAGGCAGCAAAGCAGCCCCAGTCTATAGACAGTTGCTTTTTGCTTTTTTTATGCAGTGCATAACCCAATACAGTATATCCCAGTACAGTATAGCTTAATGCTATGATGCCTCTAACACATGACTATCTGCCTGAAGGGGTGGGTAGCCTATTGTTCAGCTGAATGCTCAGTAGGTGGCTCTACTGACCGTTAATTCACTAAGTGCATTTTTGATTTGGCAGGGAATACTGGACCTCTCAGTGCATAACCCTTCATTATACAGGCTGGGGGACAATTGTCTGGTGACGTATTGATCAATAATAACAGTGGTGGAGGAAGTACTCAGATCCCTTACTTAAGTAAAAGTAGCAATACAACAGTGTAAAAATACTAAGTAAAAGACCTGCATTCAAAATGTTACTTAAAAGTACTCAAAAGTACAAAAGTATTAGCATCAAAACATGCTTAAAGTACCAAAGGTAAAAGTGTTCATTATGCAGAATGGCATATTTCACATGAATGCATATTAGGTTATTGGATGATAATTATCGATGTATTATTGTGTACATCACATTTAATGATGAGGTAAAGCTGAACCCTAGAGTAACACCTAAAAAAACTGAAGGATTCACTGGACTTGGTTAACATCTCTGTTCATGATTCAGCCATAGGACAGTATTAACCATAGCAGGACATCATGGAGGAAGCCATTGCTCTCACACTGCAGCATGGCCGAAGTTTGCCAAAGACCACCCTGACACTCCACAACAGTACTGGGAAAATGTCCAGTGGACAGATGAAACGAAGGTAGAATTGTGTGGGAAGAACACACAGCACTACATATAGCATAAAAAGAGAACTGCGTGGAGGGAGCATTATGGTTTGGGGCTGCTTTGCTGCCTTCTGGACCTGGACTGCTTGCCATTGTGGAGGGGGAAGTGAATTCCCAAGTTTATCAAGGTGTCCTACAGGTTAGATGATGTAAAAAAAAAAAAGATAATTTTTAACAGTGTGCAAGCAAGCGAAAATAAAAATTTTGTTCAATGGATAAAAAGGAACAGCTGTGTGGACATTAGAACTTCCTCCTCCAGTGAATATTTAACAGCAGAGTGGTAACATGTCCTAACATGTTTTTAACGATGTTAAAATAATCTCATATGTGTCTAGAGGTTCTTTAGACCAAATGGAGATATGAAGAATTACACAACAGAAAATTAAAGTGTCTTTATGTTTAACTGAATAATGCTGGCCTATCTGGAACCATACTGTTAACATGTGATCACACCAGTTTAAGGGTCGGTGTCAGTCAAATTACATCTGTCAGTTAGTCTGGTTTTTCAGCATTATCATTAAACTAATATAGGTCAGAGAAATAGTGTCTGTTTGCCCATTTGTTCTTTTTATACAGCAGTTTTTGTTTGTCTTTCCCATGAAGGTTAGTTTATTGTGAGGGTGGGAACTAGTGAAGCACATTCATCCTACACATTCCAGTTACACCACAGGCCTCCTCTATAGCATGCTGTTATGAAACAGCAACAGTTGTACACAGTCTTCTCAGCAGCTGATAGGTGTGCAGTGGCTGACTGGCTTGATCTGGGCCTAGCTCCTCTTGCTCAGAGAACTGTGTTTCAGCTTGTCTGTGCTAAACAAAAGACAAGCAGCCAGGAAATGCAGTAACCAATCAGCAGCTGCCTTACATTTAGTCAGCATGCATGGCCAGTCTCAGTGGGCCTTATATGAGAGCAGTGAGTTGGACAGCTTGGAAAGCCGTGGCTGTGCTCTGAGTAGGGTGAGGGCTGACAGGGCTGTCCTCCATGTTTTAATAAGCACTGACATATCACAAAGAGTTTTTTAGCCATGCATCCACAGAGGTAAGCATTATTTTCATTCTTTCAGATATACTACTCTGTTGATAAGGCACCAGCCACTGCGTGTGATCTGTGCCTGAGTAATAATACAGATTTGTCTGACAGAATGGGGGAGGGGGACTAGTATTTGTCACCTCAAGGCATAGGAGTAGGACTTGGAAAGAGAGCATAGTACAGTGCAACAGCCTCTGCTAACTGGGTGGCTGTCTGGACACATATGGCAGGGGGCCGCAGGTCAAGTGTAAGGTCATTGTATGTTCATAGAATACTCACTGGGAAAACATGCTCTCTTTTGTTAAGATCAAAAGAAGATTTGAGTTTTTGAGGCTCCCCCTGGCCTGTGCTGTCAAGATGGCAGACCTGGTGGGGGGTCCAGGCAGTGCAGAGGGGAGTCCCCAGAGGAGTTAACAGATGGTAAACTGACAGCACAGCAGCTTTAATATAGGCCTCACATTGGCATGAGAGCAGGGCACCAGGGCACTGTTATTAATTGTTTGCCAGACTAACATGGCCATGAACAATATGTAAACTGTCTATAGCGGCCTCATTTTCTACATTACACCCAAAACCTGGTTCACCTCACCATAATTCTCATTTTACTTGGTGAAAAAAAGATGTGTTTTACAGGCCTGGTCCTGTAAGCTGCTGACCAGTTTTCTAAAATACCAATTATCTACAGACTCATGCCATAGCAGCTCATATCAAAGGATAGGAAGAACAGCCTGTGCTTATTGGTGTGCACTGCCTCCCAGCGTTGTTCTTTGCTGTCGAGTGTCAGCCATTTTAGAGAGCTTCCCCTCTCTGTGTGATCCAAGCACACTGGGTATTTGTATGTGGGAGAAGTAAAGAAGGGAAGGACTTCCTCTGAAAAGCCTCAGCATAGAGACCTCATCTCATCCAAAGAGGCTTGAAAACCTGTTTGAGGTTTGATTGAATTCTGTTTATATGGAATGATGTTGGATTTCTGCAGGCAGGAATATACTTTTAAAAATAATTTTTTAAATGAATGTTTCTATTTGTATTGTTGTTTTATATTTCAGTTGGAGTATGTGATATGCGGATTGTCATTCATAGTGGTGATGGCTGACAAAGGCTCTGTTTTAAATATAACCAGGGTAACTTTGGCCTGGATATAAAGGCACCCATAATGTTGCATGGATCAGGGTTCAGGAGCAGTCTGCACTGACTGAAACATCCCCCTCCCCACTGTTTTGTTAATGGTACTTGGTAGCACATTTAATCCCTTCATTCCACTAGTGTGTTAGGATTGGTATAGGTGCACACTGACACACAGCCTGTTTAGTTTGGTGTTGGTAAAATCTCCTCCGGCTGATCTTCCAGGACCTGTCGAGACTCTGTAGCCAGCCTTGACATTTTGCCCTGGATGTATTTATGTACTGAAGGATGGTTTATACTTGTGTTGCACTGTACTGTTGTGTTTTAAGTGCATACATTATTAGTATTCATGCTTTAAAGTTATTCAAAATTTAAAATGCATATTTGATCAAACAGGAATGAGGTGTAAAGACCTATAGCCTTGATTTCAGTTGTTTATTCATGTTGTTTGCAGCTCACTGTTGCTCACACTCAACTCTCCTGGCACATATTGATTATGAGAGTGTATGCTGAAGAAGCACCAGTGGGATAGGGTGAGAGGGGGTTATGCCTTCCATGCTGTCTGGGAGGCCTGTGACATTTTCATTTCTGCCTTTGTATCCACTATTAGGCCCCACGCTGCATATCAAACATGCTGGGGCACATAATAAGCTGCATGTGGTCCTTTACAGCAGATTTGACTGGTGCTCTGAGTGTCGTGTGTACGTGTCGTGTGTGTGGTGCGCACAGTGGTCAGAGAGAGAGAGAGAAGGAGAGAGAGTGTGTCTTCAAAATGGATGCCATACACATACATTGGCTGAGAGCACAGCGAGGGAGGGAATCTGATCCTCTGCCTCTCAAGCCTGTAGAGCTGCTTTCTACTTGTCTGATAAAAGGCACACAGCCAGTATATGTCGGTAGTGGTTTTGAAAGGAGTGAGGGACTTGGTTTTCAGGAGGTTTTTAGCAACAGGGAGGAATAGTCCTCTCTGCATTGCAGCACTGTGGCTGAAGAGAGCGGGGAGAAGAGAGTCCGTGTGGCACACCGAGACTGTGCACCCAATCAGGCACCTCCGTGTGGTGCTTGAGCCAATCGGCAGCCTGCAGCCGAGGTTAAAGATTGACAATTGCAGGAGAGAGCAGCAGGGAGAGAAGGCCTTCTGGGAAACCTGGACCCATCTTTTCCCTCATCCCCCAATGCCCTCAATAATGGAAAAAGATTAAAGAATAGGCTGAAGAATCTGTATGTAAGTAAGGAAAAAGGTATGCTGTTGATTTCCTACATAGAAGTATGGATGTTTAGGCAGTGGTGGGTGTGGAAAGATATGATGTTTCAGTTGGCTATATTGTCTGCTGTGTGGTCTTTAATTTAGAAATGCTTTTTGTCATTGATTTGACCCCCTTGTTCTTGTCCAAGCTTCTGTCTGTGTCTCTTGTTGCTGTATTTCCTGGCCTGGATGTTGCTGGGGTAGATTGTCTGAGGCTGTCCAGACAGGTTAGATGAAGAGGCCAGTGAAGCCATTTCACTGCACTCATATGTGTGTCTGCGGATGAGCTGTGTTTCTGTCTGTCATTTTACCCTTCCTCCGTGATGGAGGAGGATGGGGGTGGGGGCGTGTCACCATGAAAATTGAAATGAAACTGTTGTCAGTGAATTAGTATCTGGCTTTCAACACAAACCATTCAAATGGTGCTTTCGTTAGGAGTCGGTGAAATAAGAATAGTTGAAGACGTCTGAGCAGTGAGGCCAGTGCATCTGCTGTGGCGTCAGAGAAAATGGCAACAATAACCGGTTCGACAACAGGGTGCCTGCAAGCCAAGGTGAATCCTGTTGAACTGATGCTTAGAAAACAAACTGGGCAGATTTTGCATAACCCATGACACACTGTGGTTCGTATTTCAGGGAAGATCTTCTTGACCAAACTCGAGCTGTGATTGTGCAATCTATTGTTTGTTATTAGGGCACCTCATGCATGAATTATTTTCTAGTGACCTGTTTATCTATTTACAGGCTTTTCACTTGTTGGATTTCAGAAGGTTCAGGCACTATAGGTTACACTGCTCTATGTTTTTATGTCTGCTGATTATAGGTCTGTGGCCAGTGCCTGCTATTTGTAATTGGACAATGGCACAACACATCGAGGTGCCATTGGTTCAATTTTGGTTCAATTTTTACTTTGAGATAAAGACATTTTTAACATTTAGAAGTCATGCAAGGGTTGTCTTCAGGCTGTTGGTGTATGAATTGTGTAATATAGTATATAGTTACAGTGACAGTATACAGTATTTAGTCACAGTGGGTCCTAAAAGTTGCAAAGCGGTTAGGTTTTATTAAAACATCTGAGCAGCACCTGTAACATAGACAGGATGTCCCATAATAGGCATTTTGCAGGTGCCCAGAGGCCAGTTTGTTTTTATGTAGTGTGGTCCTACAATTAAGTTTGCGTTTATTGAAGTCATGTAAATTTCAGCAGATTAGAGTACAGATGTTTTTGTCAAGTGCACAGTGCTGATGAAGTTATTTTGCGGTATTTCACTGTCCTAGACAAGGACATATATTTTGAAATATAGGGTTGGTGAAAAACCAATTTAACAAGCTGACTTAATCATTGTTGCCAGGTTTGAAATCCTCTGTTGTTAGCACAGTGCTTTGCTAGAAATAGTGATTTGAAGATGTTTTTTTAAGATGGATTTTTACAAGTAAGATTTGTGGTGCTTCTGTTTCCAGCGGGGCACCACAAATCTAACCAGAATTATGTTAACAAAGGAGACTTTTGACAAAATATTGACCTTTCTCATCTAGAATAACCCCACTGTACTATTAAGAGAGGGGATGTATTACATGGTAGGTGACGTCACAGATATTATCAGAAACATTAGCGGGAAAAGTTTTAAAGTCTCTCAGAGGAATGAGTGTCTCTCACTTCAGTTTGTGTTGCAGAACATTCCAGTAGTGATGTGCGTAGTACTGGAAACCAGTTCTCCCCAGTTCAGAACTGGTAGGAAGAATTTCTAAAGCCAGGCTGTCCTGTGATCTGGTGTCATGGTTCTGAGTCCTGAACTCAGACAGCGAGGCCTTTTAGACAAAGACACAGGCTTGTGAGGCCTTCTTGATGCCAGGGCCAAACGTCCGACCTTTTTGTTATGACTCACAGTGGTGAGGACGATACCTGTCTTGTGAACAGAGTTGAATGGCACTGTCGACAGCGCCCAGTAGTTTAAAGACGGCGGCAGCAGTGTGAGCATCCAGGATATCTTCATAATCCAGTGTAAACAGTGTGGTGGATTGTATAATGGCTCTTTGTTTTCAATGGAGAAACAAGCTCTGCTTTAAGAAATCAATTTGAATTTGAATTAGTATGCAAGTATAATAAACTTTATTTATAGAGCACCATTTTAAAAGTGTTTGTTGGCACCTACTAAAATCATGGTAGCTGCATTTTGTACTAATTGCAGTTTAACAAGGTTTTTTTCTTCTTTTTTGCTACAAACAGAAAAAAGAAAGTTGCAGTGATCCAGATTGAGATAAAATGAAGACATAACAGTTTCTAGACAAAAATTGCTTGATCTTTGAGATTCTCCTAAGTTGATAGAAACAAACCTGCTCAAGTGAGGAGGATGTTCAATTTTACTTTTGTAGGACTGTCTACTGTCTCACAAACTATCTCCATTCAGAACAAAAACTGGGAACATCATTAGTGTGTGCTCTTGTGAAATGCACACATTTTGTCTTTCTGGAATTTAGAACAAGCTTTAAATTAAAGGGAGAGCAGAAAACAGTGCAGGCATACAGTAACAGTCTGTAATCTGGAGAAGACTTGGTCTACACTGATGGTATTTATAAGCATAAGCATAAACTTTATTGCCATGTATTATCAAACTTCTACAGGAAAGCAGGGCCCAACATTTAAAACCCCTTGGCAGGATGCTCCAGCTATAGTGTACTTTTAAAGAACATGTTGTTTTAAGGAACAATTTCTGATAACTTTTAAACTTAATCATGATAGCAAAATAATAGATTTGAAAAATCTTCAGCTGTGGGGTACATTTGACTGGCAACCCATTGACAGTGCTCTTTTCTGCATCAGTGTTGCAGAGGAAGAGGAAAAAACTGAGGCTGTAACAGAAGGAATGGAGATCTCAACCAGATCCAAAGGTAATAACATATATAGATTTGTTTTTAGATAGATTGGCAAAGCTCTACTTTTGTTCTTGTGAAACTGTGTGCAGTGGGGTTATTTTGGCTTAATATTCTACTGTACGTCATCATGTTTACTGTGAGCACGAGTGGACTCTAGTGTAGGGCTGCAGCTAACAACTATTTTAATAACCAGTTAATCTGTGCAGTGTTACTAAACAAAAAAATCTAATTATTTTACAAAAACTGAGCTTTTTAAAATTGCACAATAGGTCCTCACAGTGTTCACAAAAGTACTAGAATGTTTATGATTTAAAATAAATTCAATGCTCATAAAACCCACCATGCCTGTGTAAAGGGACAGTACACACATGACTGCTACTGCTGATGGTTAAAGGTAAATATGAGTATGCAATATCAATCCTCAACACATTTACTCTGCACTGTCCCCATTAACTTACATATGTGTCATCGGTGTTCCTGAACACACCTACTGTATAAAACTTAGATTGATCTTTTTGTGTTTAATATAATGCTTGGCTGTTTGCATGTATTTCATGTTTACATGAATGCACCACAAATGCAAACACATTTAGCAGCTGCTATTAGCAGCCAACACAACCCACCCTTATGTTCCTAAATATATAATTAACATCATACTATATGGAACCATTTTACTTATGAAACTAAAGTTACTCGATCTTAATTTCTTAAATTCGTTTTCTTCACAATGTGTAAAGTTAAAGACTCAGCTCCAGTCTTCCCTTCTTCTCTACATCCAACCCATCGTTTCTTTAGGCCACGACAGATAGGTTTTGCACATTTGGCACCAGACAGTCTTCTTTCTGATTGTAAAATACAATGACCGAAAACTTTAGACGACCTCAGATGTCCACCTTTCTTTGCTGTAACTATGCTCACTACTATCCACTGATGTAGTCGCCCAGTTGCTGACCCAGTTGTCTCACACAGCTACGTGACTAGACCCAACAAACTGACAATTGAATTTATTGCCAACTATTTTTGTCACTGGTTTTTAGCGCTTAGTTGTTGCAGCTCTACTAAGAGGCCATGAGTGTTACTCCCTGGTTTGTGTAATCTCTTGACTTTTGCTGCAGGTTCAGACACAGGGTCAACAGAGCGGATTGTCCAAAAACGAAGGATACCTAGTCCCTCTCACTCATCAAATGGTCATTCTTCTGCTGAAACATCCCCCTGCCCAGTAAAAAAGAAGAAGAAACCCGGTGCTGTTAGCAGCAGCAAAGACCAGGTAATAATCACTGCGCAGCTTACATATGATCCAAATGTAAACACACAGGTCACAGTGCATTATATTATATTATATTTTCACTTTTTCCATAATCCCCAACAAGTTTAAATTTTTCTTTAATTGTATCTACAATTCTATCTGTATTCGATTTGTATCTATTTGTAGTTGCCAGGTGACTACTTTGGTACCTGTAAATGACAGTGAACACTGTCTTGTGCAGCAGGAAATTTTGTATTTGTGAGGATACAAAATCTAGTTCTATCAGTTGAACTCAGTGTGCTTTCATAGTGCTATTCATATAATTGCAATATTCAGTAATAAAATCAAAATATTCCGAGCCGCCATGCTGAGCCCTTCAGATGGAGGAAGTTACAAATGTACTATAGGTGCACCACTGTGATCTGTAGCATGTGTGCAGATGGGAAGAAATGGTTGGTTGTGCTCACTAATTCATATTCTACCAATGTTTTAAGGCCTGCATTTAGTCAGGGTAGATTCACTGAGCATGAATTCTCTTTTGGGGGAAGGTGTCATCAACACTCATTACACAGTTATGCACATTTACATCTGGAAGTTGCCCAGTATGACCAGCTGTTGGCCACTAAGCAGCTTCAGTGGAGCAGATAGAAGTAAAGTTCTTTCAGTTAACTTAATTTCATTTACTGTAAAATGCAAGGTGATGTTTTTGTAGACTTTTATATTCTTCTTAAATCACCTCCTCCTGCCCTTGACTTTTACCAGAACACAAAGTGCTTTTGTGTTCTGCTTTATATTATTGCTAAACATGGTTCAGTAGCACTGTGCCTTCCTTTGTGATACTGAGGCAGAGGTATTTTATTTTTTGCTTACATTTAAGCTCTCAGCTGTTCTTTTTTTGGTAGTTCAGACTTTTGCAAGATTAAGTCTGTGGCATGTTTTCATGGTCTTGAAACTATTTTCACTTCGAAAAATACAGTTTAATTTCAGCCGGGTGTTATAAATTTGATTACGGATCCCATGAGGGGTGAAAAATTATGATAGTACTACAGGAAGTATATTATGAGTTACCATGTGATTGTTATCTCCAATCTGCTCCATTTAGACCTAATTATTGAGGTTTTTGAGGCACAGTATGCTGTGAAATGTAAAATGGTAAATGAAAATTTTGGAGGGGGTGGACAGGTTGGGGCACTGCCTCAGATGAGTGGCACATTAACATACATGTAAAAAGTAAAATGATCTCCTAGTCTTTTGAAATAACAAAACTATACATTATTATGTGTAAGTGTTTATTATCTTATTAACAATAAGACACACACTGTGCTTTCTTTAGCTAACTTTGGCTGCACTCTTTATTTACTCTCAACTGGGGACATTGCTGGTGCACATAGGTGCCCCCCCACTACCACCATTGAGGTGAATCATGCCAAGTACGCCACAACAATACAATCTGAGAAATGAATGCAAATATCAGCCTGTATGCATGATACAAAATAAAACTAATTTGACCAATACCAATAAAGTACCAGAAAAATGTTAGCTGTATTTAAGACAAGTTTGTCATTGTTTTTATTTTTCACACATTAATACTGACAAGCACGGCTTTTTGACTCTGGCAGGAGTGGCACTGAGGTGGCCAATAAGGATCTGGGGCTGGCCAGTGCCACCCCTGTCCACCCCTTGGCTCCGCCCATTCCTGTTATGCAATAGTGAAATCTGCAATTTAATGATCAGTCAGATTATCACTCAAAGTTGGCCTTTTCACTACTTTATATTCTTGACTACTGAGTTTTATGCATCTCTAATTTGAGCAAAAGCTTTTATAGTTTCCACTATTTTAGCGAAGTTCTCTATTGTTTGTTAGAATCAAACACTTGTGCTTTTTCTTTAAGCTTGTGGGTTTTTTTATCTGCATGTTCTGCTGGCTTTGTTCACAAATACACAGTAGGTAAATGCTGTACTCTTGGTACATTAGATTGACCTTTGTATATGATTAATCACCACTGTAACTATTTGAGCTTTTGCCAGCTTAATCAAGGCTGTCCACAGTGTTTACCCTTTCACACACGGGTGATGATTGTGCCCTGAAACACAGACTAAAGCTAGAGAACTGAGCAAGTCACATGCATATCAGGAAATATTGTCTTTTGATACAAACTGAATCACGATGGATTTTTAAAAAATGTGTTGTTGACTATGTATATGGCATACTTATCTACCAGCAGTTGCACTTGCAGTACTGGGGCTCACAGCAATCTGTGTTTTGGACTTTGGTGCCGTGTACTTTCTGCTGATGCTATGCATGTCTGTTTGGTTTTGCTATTCTTTGACCTGATTTTGACCTTCCCCAACTTTGTGTTTCTTTTGCCTGCATTCCAGTCAGAACTAAGACATGGTCCGTTTTACTATGTGAAGCAGCCAGCACTCACCACAGACCCTGTTGATGTTGTACCGCAGGACGGCAGGAATGACTTCTACTGCTGGCTGTGCCACCGCGAGGGCCAGGTGCTCTGCTGTGAGCTCTGCCCCAGGGTGTACCACGCCAAGTGCCTCAAACTACCAGCCGAGCCCGAGGGCGACTGGTTCTGTCCGGAGTGTGAGGTACTCACCCAGGAAAGTGTTTAGTGTGTTATGAGTGTTAGAAAACATACTTCAAAGCCTGAAGTCAATTTTTTGTTGTTGTATTTGTTTAGTTAGGAGCTCTGAGTAAGTTTGGACATAAGTGACAAACCCATGTACACATTGTGTGTCATAATGAGATATAAACAAAACTGTCAACATTTTTGCTCTTGGTGTCTTTTAGAAAATAACTGTTGCAGAGTGTATAGAGACTCAGAGCAAAGCCATGATGATGCTAACAATAGACCAGCTGTCTTACCTACTAAAGTTTGCCCTTCAGAAGATGAAACAACCAGGTGTAAGTATTCTGGGCCCTCTGTCTCTACAAAATGCTACCAAACTGATTATGTAGAATTGGGGCAGGTAGCTTTATTACAGATGGGTTACTCTGTTTATTCTGATTTTAAGTTCTGCCTTTTGTAATTGTATATTGAGATTAATGTATTGGATATGGGCATGCATTCTTCTCAATTGCTTATGCAGCCAAAAGACGCTTTTTTTCTGGTCGTCCTCCCATCAGTCGTGTCAGACGTAAAATCTGCACCCTGAAGTACTGCCTGTCCACATATAAGTCTAGCATGTTATATTTGCATGTGAAAATGATCTCTAATAACAGAACTAACAATCATAGTCTTTGTACTAGAATGGGCCTGTCATGGCTGGAAAACATGAAGGTAAACATGCTAGCTGGTGGTGAGGATACAGCTGCCCCTCTCACTCTCTTTCAGGATCATCCCCGCTTGTCATCTCGCTCCCCCCATGCAGCTTCCACGCAGAGAAAGACTTTTAATTGGGTAATAAATTACACCACTAAGACCCCGTCATGATTTCTTCCTCCACTAGTTTTCCCTTTTTTTTGAAGCGGCTTTTAGAGTTTTTACTAGTAGCATGGTGGTAACATGTTGATATGCAGTTGAGGGGAAAGTTGGTCAGGTAGTTTGACCTGAGAGTTTGTTTACCTTCACTCTCTTTCCTGTCTACTCATTTTTATAGACTGAACCATTCCAGAAACCCGTCTCTCTTGAGCAGCATCCAGATTATGCAGAGTACATTTTTCACCCTATGGACCTTTGCACCCTTGAGAAGGTAAAACACATGTTGTCACACATTTAGTTGAAACAATAAATGTAAAATAAGTTGAACAGTTTGACAGCTGAGCACTGTCTTTTCTCTTTGCACTACAGAATATCAAAAAGAAAATGTATGGCTGCACAGAGGCCTTCCTGGCAGATGCAAAATGGATTTTGCACAACTGTATTATATACAATGGAGGTATGTTGCATATTGTGGGTACAATATGAAACAATGACTGTATAAGCCTTGGTGATAGGAACTAAATTATAGTTATAATAATAATTTTTTGCAGTGTTGGTATATATTATTGTATAACAAGTATGGTATATTCAAAATTATATATATTCTAATTTAAATTAAAGGTGAATGCAATTTACAAATAAACATCAATGCCAGCAACTTGTTTTGTTGGTAATTACAATTTGCTCAGATTAAATAACAATACAGTTTCACTGAGAGACAACTGCTAATAGTGTTTGTCATCATCAGTCATCATGCTTTCCAGTCTGTGTATAAGCTCTTTAACATAAATATATGTCCTTGTTTCAGGCAATCACAAACTCACAGCTACAGCTAAAGTAATAGTAAAAATCTGTGAACACGAGGTGAGTGTGTAGTTTGGGTCATAAAAGATTTTAAGACATGACAGTGGACATGACAGCTGAAACTTACTTTATATGCATTTTGATTCTGTTTTGCAGATGAATGAAATTGAAGTTTGTCCTGAGTGTTATCTGTCTGCTTGCCAAAAGAGAGACAACTGGTTTTGTGAGCCTTGTGTAAGTTATTAGAGTAACTGGAAGTTTCTGTTGATGATTCCACCAGATTGTTTATTCATTCAAACATAGATCACTGGGATAGTTGCACTTAGGTCCAGTGTTTTACTGTATGTTTGCAGAGTAACCCTCACCCTCTAGTCTGGGCAAAATTGAAAGGATTTCCATTCTGGCCTGCAAAAGCTCTGCGGGACAAAGATGGACAGGTGGACGCCCGCTTCTTTGGACAGCATGACAGGTATCAGCCCTTGCTGCTTCACTTACTTGGGCTTGTTGACACATTTCAGGCTTTGTTGTAACACAGAATATTTAACTGAATGTTTATCCTTCAGGGCATGGGTTCCTTTAAACAACTGCTACCTCATGTCCAAAGAGATTCCCTTCACTGTGAAGAAGACCAAAAGCATCTTCAACAGTGCCATGCAAGAGATGGAGGTCTATGTGGAGAACATGAGGAAGAAGTTTGGAGTGTTTAACTATGCCCCCTTCAGGTCACCTTACACTCCTGACAACAACTTCCAGATGCTGCTGGATCCCTCCAACCCCTCATCCACTCCCGTCAAACCTGAGAAACAGGAAAAGATCAAGCTGAGCTTTGATATGACATCATCACCCAAGATACCTTTGGCCAGGACCATGTTGTCTGGGGCCGGGGTGGGAGGGAGCACAGCTGGGCGGCGGCTCCCTCTCAGTGACATGCCTCGCTCCCCCATGAGCACTAACTCCTCTGCCCATACTGGTTCAGATGCGGAACAGGAAACAGTGGACAAATTGCAGACAAAAGCCCCAAACAGCCAGTGTAGTACAGGAGAAGAGAACATAGAGTGTACAGGTATTCCACCAGATGCATTTTATATTAGCTAAAGTCTGTAAAATAGCAGTACAAGTGTCTAATGGGAGCTGACTTCATTTAACAGTAAATCTCTCTGAGCAGCATCACCTGCCCATCCTCGACCTGGCCCTACAGGCAGTTCATTGGACAGCCCTAAATCATTCCACACGCAAGCTCCTAGCACACCCAAGCAGGAGAAGACCCCACCGACAGGAAGCATTCTTAACCTCAATCTAGGTTGATCTTTTATCTCATATATGTAATATACATGAAAGTGTTTAATAATGTCTATTCCTTGTGAGCAAAACAGGACACAATTCTCTTATAATCAACACTGAATCATAATAAACTTCTTTCTCTTTGGAATTATTTTACGTTGGATTCTTCCAGATCGGAGCAAAGCAGAAATGGACCTGAAGGAGCTTAGTGAAACAGTTCAGCAGAAGCAAGCGCCCGCACCAGTCCTTACCTCTCCAAAAAGACAGATCAAAAGCCGTTTCCAGCTGAACCTGGACAAAACCATTGAGAGTTGCAAGGCACAACTGGGTCAGTACAGAAGAAGTAGAAAAAATAGAAACACATCAAAAATGGCTAGGTTGTTGTTGTTATCCAGCACTATAGGTGTCTTCATTGAATGGTAGCCCAGTGAAACACATTTTAGGGATGTGTTTTTGATGTAATGTATGTCAGTTATTATTACATTTTGAGTCTATAATCTTGCTTCTTGGTAGCTGAATTCTAAAACATGTTGAATAGCAGTGGACTATCCTGCCTCTACCTTTGCTTTGCAGGTATTGATGAGATCTCTGTGGATGTGTATAAAGGTGTGGAACACAGTGACTCAGAAGACTCAGATAAATCCGACTCAAGTGACAGTGAGTTTGCTAGTGATGAAGAGCAAAAGACCACAGAGAGCCAGGACAGAGCACCCAATGATGAAGCCCAGAAGAACCCCACAAAAATTAAAGTCAAAGACCAACCTTCCTCAAGTCAAGATGACGAGGGTAAAGTTGATACACCTGTGGCATCTGAGTCTGTAGTAGGCAACGCCACTGCAACAGCAGCAGATGTTCCAACTAAAGAGAAGACAAGCACAGATTCTGATAAAGAGAGTGCAGAAAAAAACAAAGCACCCCCGGCATCACCGGGTCCCAGGGTGAAGCCCCAGGTAAAAGAAGAGGCAAAGGAGCCTGTGCCAGTGGAAGACACTGACTCAGAGAGGGAGCTGGTTATTGACCTTGGAGAGGAACAGGGAGGCAAGGACAGGAAGAGGTGCAGGAAAGAAAACACCACTGTTAAAGAGTCATCTACTGGTAAACCTGAAGGTGAGAGAAGTGCTTTCCTAGGCTGAGTCCACAAGAAAAAAAAAAATCAAACACACACTAAATATGGTTTCCATTTTTAGCAGTTGTAACATGTGGAAACAGCAGCAGCTTTGTACAGACAGAACTGTTTAATGATGTAGGTACTTCTAATTGTAGGTAAAGCCCTGACCCCATCGACACTCCCATCTCAAAGCAGTACAGCTCCTTCCACACCCTCCAGTGTTTCCATGCAGTCCCCTATGGCCATTCCTGTCACCATGGTCTCCTTCACTACTCCCTCTCCTGCAGCCATAAGCCTTGCGACTGTGTCCAGTGCTGCAGCAACACCCTCCTCTTCCTCCTCCTCCCCCTCGGCCTCGACCACACCAGCCTTGAAGAAGCAGCGCCCTCTGCTGCCCAGAGAGACTGTACCAGTGGTGCAGAGAGCTGTAGTGTGGAATCCCACTACCAAGTTCCAGACTTCCTCGCAGAAGTGGCACATGCAGAAGGTGCAGCGTCAGCAACAGAACCAGCAACCTGTGGCAACTGCACAAGTCCAGGCGTCATCATCCAAGCAAGGCCAGGCTCAAGTGCTGACCCAGACACAGAATGCTGGAAATGTGTCGACAGCAGTTTCCTCATCTTCAGCACAGCAGTCTTCACAGAGCACACGCTATCAGACCAGACAGGCTGTCAAAGGTGGATTACATGGTTTTAATTATTTTAATCTTTGACTGACAGAATTCAAGTATGACTTTACATACTGTGTGGACCAGTATGTATCAAGTTTCCTTCAGGGAATAAGGATAAGAAAATGTGGGAGGGGTAAAAATGTTTGATGCTCATGATGCATACAGTATATATGCAAAATAAATCATCTTTTGCAATATCAGTTTACACTCCACAGCAATCATTATACCTATGATATGTTAACAGTTTGTCCATAATGATGTTGTTGTTTAATCTGGTTTTCTATACTAGCTGTTCAACAAAAGGACAGTCTACTCAGCACATCCACTTCAGCTGTCACCCTGGTGTCCAGCAGTCCAGCTTCTGCTGCAGTGATGGCAGCATCAAGTGTAGGCACAGTTGCTTCATCTTCATCAGTGGCAACAGACCTGTATATCCCCACTGCCTCAGCAGATGTGGCTGCAGACATCGCCAAGTACACTAACAAAGTTAGCATCTTTTTTTTTTTTGCTTTGTAAGATGCCATCTCCACTGTATTGTCTATTCACATAATATTATGATCTTCTGGTTTTCAGATAATGGATGCAATCAAAGGTACAATGACGGAAATCTACAATGACCTTTCTAAGAGTACTTCAGGGAATACAATAGCAGAGGTGGGACTTTACTCTTGATCATTCAGAGAGTGCGTTTGAGTGCATGAGTATCCCGGTTATTAAGAGTACCCTGGTTTTGTTTATGTTCAGCATATATTGTTTACATGGAACAGAGAAATGTGGTTATGTATATCCCTGTATACATGGTAAAAACTAGTAACCTGGTTAATGATGGGTTGTAGGCTAAATCTTCGTCCTCCTCAGCTGTGTAATCTTCTAAATCTATCCATATGTTAGATTTTAATTAGGAAAATGTTTGGTAACTGTATTTAGGCCTATTTGTTTTTCTAAATGAAAAAGACTGAGGAGCTACATATGCACTAATGTTAATAACTGTTCAATGCTACCTGGTGTTGATGTACTATCTCCTTCTGGAGGCTCAGTGTGCAGTGGACAGGGAAAGCTGATGTCAGCGCCTCCATCCTCTATGGTGGAAAGTGAACAGTGACCAAGCAGCTCATCCAGTATTTTCAAGAATTTGAAAGTTGCTGGACTAAACACACTGCTTTTGTTTTTCTGTCTGGCCACAAATTAATTTTTCATCAAGGTTTTCCGCCCTGATCTGACTGTCCCACTGTAGTGTTGGGAAACCTGCATCCCGTAAATTGTCCACTACAGATTTAGAGAGGTCAGCACTCCTATGCTTTCTTCCATCTAAATTACCTTGTGCATTTAACTCTTTCATTACCAAAAGACAAAATTAAATCTCTTCTCGTACCAAACGTGAGATTTCTTCACTGCTGACAAGGTGTTTATCTTAAGCCACTCTGATGTTGCAGCTGCACCTGCACAGTCTGGAACATTCAGAAACCTGGATAAGCCATATACATGCAACAGTACCTGGTTTCTTTCAGTGTACTCCACCATGCATATTCAGGTTTCTCAAAACTGGGATAAGAACATATCTGGGTTTATGAAATTGGGATATCATGTTTACATGCACAAACACAAAAAATGGATACCTCAAAAACCCGGTCATAACTGGGATACTCATGTCCATGTAAACACACTGAGAGACTAAATATAATTCAGATCATAAAAGTGGCTTTGCATATGACCCTCTATGTATCCCAAACTGCCTATGTGCTATTCCTTCAGATAAGACGACTGAGAATTGAAATAGAAAAATTACAGTGGTTGCATCAACAAGAGTTGTCAGAGATGAAGCACAATCTTGGTGAGAGCATGGGACATCAGAACAATACTTTGCACGTAGACCTAAAACAGTGTAAAGAGTTCTGCTTGTGTTTCATCATGTTTATGTACTTTAATTTAGAGCTGACAATGGCAGAGATGAGGCAAAGTCTTGAGCAGGAGAGAGAGAGGTTGGTGACTGAAGTGAAGAAACAGATGGAACTGGAGAAGCAACAAGCAGTGGATGAGACAAAGAAGAAACAGTGGTGTGCTAACTGCAGGAAAGAGGCCATCTTCTACTGTTGCTGGAACACCAGCTACTGTGATTACCCCTGTCAGCAAGCCCACTGGCCAGAACACATGAAGTCCTGCACTCAGTCAGGTAACAGCATGTGCCAGCATCAACATGTTGCTGGAGACATTCATGCAAACGAGAACTGTTGTTTTCTGTTGTGGCAGTTTTTAACCCTTTCTGGAAGTCTCCAGTTCTTTGCTTGCCTGTATAATCATCAGCCACTTTACTCCTGACATTTTCATACATGTAATACATTTTGTTACTTTTGTTCTATTTGTAGCCACAGCCCCACAGCAAGAACCTGAGGCTGAATCGACAGCAGACCTCCCAAACAAGGGTTTAGGGCAGATTGGCAGTGGCCCAAATGCTCTCAGAGACACACCAGTCTCTGCACCATCAGACAAAGACTGTGACATAGAGAAGAGCACTGACAGTGGTGCTGTCACTTTGCCATAACTGAGCTTACCATACTTGAAAATGTAAATGTACAGATTGTTTTTTTTTTTTCACTGCAAGAATATGTTTATGTAAATCCTTCTGTTCAAGCAGCTGTTGAAGGGAGCAATCCAAATTATTTTTATTTATATATTTTCATTTGCCTTTCTGGACTCAAATAAAGGTCTTATTTTAAATGTAGAACATGGCTGACAGGAGACAGGTAGTAACCACTAGAGGGGGCAGTTAAAATATATTCTACATATTCATGCACTCCGTTGCAGTCTGTAGAGCTGTTGAGGAGCAAATCTTAAGAACATGTATGAGTGTCACAAAACGTACAGTACACATAGTATAAAAGTCAACGGTTAAGCAGTTTAAGACTGCAAAAATGAAACCCATGTTGATGGACCACCTCAGTTTTAGATTAGAAGACTGTTGACAGAAATGTCTGTAAATTACCTATTTTGTAGTCTGTTAATTTATTTGTTGTTTAATGTTGCCTGCTGTACACTGCGAAGAAAGTAAATATAAACATTTTAAACAAGTTGTTTCCATTGTTACACTGTGGTTTAATTAGTTATGAAGCAGCCTGCAGTCAGTTAACATACAGTAGGTTCAACTGTAGTTTGCATATGTAAATAGGATTTAAACAGAACACAATTTCTAAAACACAACACAGATAAAATAATCTTTATAAAGTGTTATAGTTGTCCCAAAGGGACTTGGGTTGGTTTTGGTATGTTAAATATTTTAGAACTGTACTGGACTTTTGTTTCAAATGCCAAAAGTCAAGAATTCTCACATTTCAGCTTGCTGCAAACTCTTAAAATGAATAGTTAAAATGAACTATCCCACTGTATAATAATATGATGAGGAAAAGGTTAAACAAATGCAACAAATAAGCAGTAGCCTATACTTAAGATGATTCAGATTCAGGTAGCTCAAAGTTGTTTCCAATAAAAAAAAGTCACTAATAAAAAAGCCACATATTCACTTTTGATTATCTGAATCTATAGATTTACTAATGTTAGGGTATTTATGGTGCACATTTGGCTCGATGTTATAAAATGCCAAACTACTTAAACTGGTGCGCTTAGGCCTGTCAGCCATTACCAGTCTTTGCTTAGTTCTCCTCCTGACCAATGGAGGCGCTGTAGACACATCGAGCAGATTGTGTGAACCGTCAGCCATCTGCCGCAGTCAGTTAGCTCCAGCGGGAATGGAAAATGGAGGACTGACTGATAAAAGAACGCAGGCATATCATCGGTATTTCCAAAGCTTGGGTGGGTAGAATATAATAATTTAATATTTTGATAGTGTAGCGCAGATTTTTGTGGGGTGCGTTCGGGTTGTTTTTTTGTTTTCCTGCGGATGTTGTCCTACTCCAGATGTCCGAAGCAAGGTTGAACATGATGCGTTAGCTGTGGCGTTATCGTCAGCTTGGTAACTACAATCAAACTACGCTGTTAAATGTTACTCTGCCTAGTCACAATTAGTTAGTTGGCTAACTGTATGGTTTAAACAACATAATGAATGCCACTCATGGTTCCGTTTTTCCTGGTTTTGTGTCCAATTTTTGTTATTATTTAAATGCTAATAGCTTAGCTACAGATTGAGGTCGCTCACTCGTAGTGGCTAATAGCGTTAGCCAGGCGTGCTAGGCATAAGTGTACATTTGGCAGTGCTCTGTCCCTATGTCTGTCCGTCACGAATAAGTTACAAAATGGAAACCGACGAGAAAGAGTCAAGTCTTACATATTAAACATTATACACACAGTTGCCCGGTGTGCTCCGCCTAATAATTAGCGTAAACAGTATTTTTCTCGAGCTAGTTAACGGCAACGTTAGCTAACTGTTAACTAAATGGGTCGGTTAACTTTTGAAGCTACTGGTTCGGTCGAGTGTGAGCTCTGAAGCCATCGTAGGCTGGGTCTGTTGTACATGAGGTGTAGTGTTAATGTTAATCTGTTTTCGCAGTTTGTTTTCTGTAACGTTAACGTTACCTCTCTAATACAGTCTGGATGCACGTACTTATTGGCCACATTTAACAGTATAACGTTAAGCTACGGTGTGATCGAGAATTAAAGGCTGTTGGCGTAATGTACCGCGCACCAAGGCCGTGTGCAGCTGCCCTCGTAGAGCAGCAGCCATTAGACATAGTTTGTCTATTACACTCACAATAACAGGCCATACCGCAGAAGCTGCACGCGTCAAAGTTTATAGCTTTGAGTGAATGTGCAATAGCTGTTGTTAAATTTGATTTACGCCTCGGGCCCCTCCCACCGTCCTGCTTTTCTTGAATTCACGTGGCACCGAGACGTGACCGCTCGCGCACGGCTGGAGGGAGCCAGATTCCTTCTTTATCACCATTAGTATTTGGGTTGATTTGATTTCATGTGTTAACGGTGCAGTGTACAACGCTCTTTAATAGTTTTAAAATGAGGTGTAAATGATATAGACATATTTAAACTCCAATTGTGTATGAATGCATTCGTTTATTAAATGGCTGGTCACTGAGGTTTCTAACCTGCTGTGAATTGTCAGCAAATTGCACATAATTCTGTCATGGGTTTTGCACAGCTCATATTAATTCGAGTAATTGCAAAGTTATCATTTGCAACATATGGAATCTTTAAATCTGGTATAAAGTTCAGATTTAAGTTGCAGTTTGTATATCTCCATTTTCTAGAAAACAGAAGATTTTCTTGTCATTTGCATCATATTAACTGAATTCATAACGTAATTGCAGCTCAGCCTTTCTGTGAAGCACTTTGTATTTTGTTCTTAATTTAACTTGTTCTCTTTCTGGCAGGTCATTTAACCTTATACCAAGACTCATGGTTACTGCTCCAAAGCCTTTGTTTTGTTTGAAGAAGCACTGTTGCCCATCACTGCTGAACTGCAGGTACAGATATTGGCTGTTTTCATAATGTGTGCTAAATTAAAAAATAGAAACATTTTGTCCAAAATGAAGTGCATCTTCCTTAATTTTCATTACCAGGAAAACTTAACAGTCATTCACCAGTCACAAACGGCTATAAGAGTTTTTGAATTGTGTTGGGCCACTGTAAATCTGGTTTTAGACTTTCGAGTGCCTGGCATTGGCAAATTATTAAACACGGTATTCTGCTTTTGATCTCACAGTTTGACCAATAAATTAAACTTCAGCATAAACATTAATAATGTGTATTTTTAGGTTAAAAATATTCACTGTGTTGTCATCTTCTGCCACTGTTCTTGCTATTAAATAATATTAATTTAGTCTAGACTGTTGAATGTGATGTCTGTGTACAGAAATTGCTACAGTCCCTTTGTGTGGGGAAACGTGCTACAATCGGCTTGTCATCATGCTTTCACATGGGAACTGCTTATGAAATGCAATCTACCACAAAGATACAGAAAAGAAAATCCAGCCAAAAGTTTTTAGCTTGCAGTAGGATAAACAGAAGTGAAGCAATAGATGTGACACTTACTAGGGGCTGTGTAATGACAAAAGACTTAAGTACACATTTTTATTACATTTTCATAAAGAAATGTAGCAAATTTGTAACTGTTTTGGAATGAAAATGTAAACAAGTATATTTGCATTAAGACATGGATCAATCCCAGCACTAGGTAATTAATAAATAACCTAGCAGCCCTGAGTATTTCTCCTAATATGAATTGAAAAGAGTGACTCATAGTTGGTCTCTTGTTCTTTTCTCTTAACTGTAGACATTGAGTTTGAAAGTAGTGATTGACTCCATCATCTATGGAGGAGAATGTGAACCCTGAGCTCTCTCTAGCTCCTGAGCCAGAGCAGAGCCAGGAACATATGGAGAGCTGCTCTCAAGGTACCTTGGATGAGCTTCTTCTCCTTTATGAGTAAGGGGTGGTGGGGGTGGTGTTGTAATACTAGGCACAAGTGTGGTGGCAGGTTCTGTGATTCTTTGGGCGTTTTTAAATGAAAATGTAGGGTAGGTAAGGTTCATGTCCAAGACAAGAAATCATTTTCAGTTTTGGTTTATATGTATGCATGCATGATCAAAGAATAATTAGCACTTTCTTGGAAGTATTGCTATGTTGCACTCTGGTAATTGCATGCCATGATTTCTTTTCCCATGGACTTCTTTAAATGTCTGTTTGCAGGTGTTGGAGAAGGGGATAGTGAACAGAAGGAAAAGATTCAAACTGAAAGTGAGAATGTGGCCAAAGAAACAGTAGAGGAGCCAGATAAATTGTCCAAAGCCAGCAGTGAAATAAAGAAGACTTGGGGTTTCCGTCGGTCCACTGTATTAAAGAGAGAAATGCCAGTGGAGGCAGCAACCAACAGCCCTGAAAACCGCTGTCCAGTACGGCGCAGTGGTAGGCAGTCTAAACGTACTGACAAACTAGAAGAATTCCTCTTGACAGCGAAAAGAGGGTCAAGAAAGAGCGCCCCTCCCACTTTGGAAAGTGGAGATCCTCCTTCACAAACCCCAACTGATGCTGAGACTGCCTCAGAGGCCAGCTTTGATGGCAATGCTGACACCAAGGCCATAGAAGACAAGGTAGAGTCCCCAGAGAGGAGGACAAGAAGTGGCACCACAAGGAAGCAGACCCAAAGAAAAGCTCGAGGTGCCAGACAGACCAGAGGAAGTGGCGGAGTGACAGCGAAAGATGAGGGAAGCTCTGAGAATGAGGAGGACAGCAGAGATGCCCCTAAGAAAGACGAGTTGCATCATAACAGTGAGGAGAAAAAAGATGCCAAGAGTGATCCCACTCCTGAAGCGACAGGGAGCACCAATAAAGCACAGTCTCTGTCAGAGCTGGACTCTGAGAAGAAAGAAGTTGCTGAGAAGGATGAACTTGAAGATACAAATGATAAAGTGGAAACAGAGAAGGAGACTGATGAAGACACTGCAGACAAGTGTGCGGCAATGCAGGTAAAACGTGGACCAATAAGAACTTATGTCAATAAAAAGAAGGCAGCCAATAAGAACACTGCTCCTGCTAACAAGAGTGATACTCATGTCAAGAGGGAAGCTAAGCCCAAAGTGACCCAAACTGCTGTAAAGATTCGCACGCCCCAAAAGGAAGAGGACAACGATGATGAGAATGGCTCTTCAGCATCTTCGTCATCTTCTTCTGTTGAGTCTGATGATGGAGGATATGACCCCAATGCACTTTACTGCATCTGTCGTCAGAAACACAACAAAAGGTATTAGCTATCATTGTCTTATTAGTTCTTACTTTTTTGTCCCATTGTCTACTTAAAAAAAGAAAAGATATCATTCTATATTTCACACTAAACGCAGCCATTTTGAGTTGCTACAGCCACTGTCTTGAGTCCATGTTGTCATTTTTTATTCCTAAGTCCAGTATTGGGAGAAAAAGCAGTAAGTTTGTTTTGAGATTTAAAGTTTATCAGCAAGACTACAGATATCTTGTTCTTAATAGGTTCATGATCTGCTGTGACCGCTGTGAGGAGTGGTTCCATGGAGACTGTGTGGGCATCACTGAGGCCCGTGGGCGCTTGATGGAGAGGAACGGTGAGGACTATATCTGCCCGAACTGCACTGCTAAGAAAAACCAGGTGGTTAGGCCTGCCACATCTGTCCTTTCTACAAGTACAGAGACTGGGAAGCCCAAAGCTGAGGTTGCTTCTCTGTCTTCTACTGTCACCACCTCTTTAACTGTTGAGAGAGCGACTATCAGCGGAGCAGACACCCGTCCATCAATTGTTCAGCCAGCAGCTGCAACTCTGTCTTTCACTTCTACTGGAACTGAAGAGAAAGGAGCAGAGGACCTGGGCATTAAAGGCAGGATAGAGAAAGCCACTAATCCAACTGGAAAGAAGAAGATAAAGATATTTCAGCCGGTACGTCCCCATAACTGATTGTAACTTAAACACTTGAAATAGCTGTCTTTAACTGACTGCAGCCCTAAAATTATTGTCTGAGCTGGTCTATGCATTAAGGGGCAGTGGGTGCTGAGCTCAGTTATTAAACCCATTCATTTCTATGTGTTGCATGGCTCAAGAACATCTGTGCTGTGCATGTACTGTCCCTGTGCGCTGCGTTGAAGTTAAAGTTCAACTTGGGGCGCAGCGCTCTGTGATGACACCTCGATGCGTCCAATTGCAGAGAACCTGATAGGCCACAAAGAAAATGGAGGAGAAGCTGATTTTACGTGATCCAAACCCAAAATTCTTCTTTGCTGCAGCTTGTCTCCTCTCCCTCATCAATACAACTAAAGCCAGAGTGTTTTTACTGACACGTAGATAGATACATCGTGCATCCAAGTCAGCTGTTCAAAAACTAGTTCATATCTATTAACTGGAAAGCTTTTTGGTCACCTAGCAACTGGTGGCGAACATTTATGCATGTGCGCCTCCTTCCCCTTTGCTGCGACCAACCCTCGTGGCGAGCACAGCACATACCACCTCCTATCTGAAAGCCCTTTTACTCAGTCGTCTATTGTTGCAGTGCATGTGCAGTGTTTTCCCCATCAACGTTACTATGTCATGGTTAATATTTTAATCCCTATTTTATTTTGTAAACGGGTAATACTTGAACTGGGTTTAACTCAGTTTCACTGCATCGTAGTCTTGTTTCTAGTGAATGTAGCAATGTAGATTAAGGCTCAAAAATAGAGGTCAGAGGCTCCAGTACTGCTCTGTTGTTGATACTATGACATAAATCTCTGTGGACCAACAAATAGCTTTTTACAAATCACTGTTGTTATTGGTAAGAGGAATATTAAATTTAGCATGAATTTCAGATTTCTGATGTTGTGGCAGCACTGTTTGTCACTAGTGATTTATTGTGTACTGAATTGGAGCAGGCAATACAGCAGCCAGATGAACCAAAAGCAGATCAGAAGGCCGCACCGACTGTGGACAAGGCTGCAGCGCCCACAGCAGAGCACAGAGCGCTAGAAGATACAGAGCAGAAAGTGGCATCAAACGTGGAGGTGAAAACCACGCCACCAGTGGGGATACCAGATGAGAAGGCTGGGGCAAGGGCTGAGGAGGCATCTTCCCTTCCCAAATGTATCGGGCCTGGCTGTGATAATAACGCCCAGCCAGATTCTGTATACTGTGGAAACGACTGTATCCTGAGGCATGCTGCTGCAGCCATGAAGTCCATCACTGATGTCAAAGAGCCCAAGCAGAAGGACAAGGACAAGGCTAAGGCTCAGAAAACCAAGTCGACACCAAAGGTAACTTGGACCACCTGAAATGAAATGGCCTTTGCCTGTCCTTAAAGCCTTTCAACTAGTGAGAAATGTTGTGCAGGTTTTAATATCAGTAATAGCTGTGGAAAGCACTTTAGTAGAAGTTGTATATGACTGCTAAATAATGTGCATCACAGTCATATAGATATTAGACTTTGGATCTTGTGTCTTCACCAATTTTGGTAATAATTTCTTAACATGTTTTGCTTGCTGAATGTTTCATTTATTCACTTCATTATTAGCGTGGCGTTGCAGTAGTCATGTCCTATGCTTGAGTCTGGTGCAACTATTGAAGACAAGTACTTTGATGTCCTGTCTCTGAATGATTTGAATCATAGCATAATTTGCAAGTTTTTATTTATGCCTGCATAAATAGCTGAAATGGTGCAAAAGTTTTTTTTCACTTTTGATTAGCACTAGAGCAAACATGTAACCATATCTACACAACTAACATGACCTAAAATGAACTTGCAAGTGTTATGGTCATATTTGGGATTTAATAAATTAAAAACCACATTTTAAGATTTGTGGCAGGTTTCCTTGCTGTGGTTTTATCCTTTACTTTCCAGTACTGTCAGATGAAGTCAGATCTTGATCTGTTTAGAAATCTTTGCACCTAGTCTAAAACCTATGTGGAAGCTGAATTAACTAAGAAATGGTAGCTCTTACTTTGTGATATCCGAGAGTAGCAGCTACCAGAAGCAAAGTTCTTGGGTTGTGGTCTTAACATTGGCTGTTTTGTGATATAAAACTGGATTGCATTTAAGCAGGTCAGAGCATACGCTCCATCTTGGGAGCTGGTTAATTTCAGAGATTTTGATCAAAACTATAAAATGGCTTGTCCATTGACTAGTCAGCTCAGTGGAACAATGGAGTCATCATTCCAACTGGATCATGTCATTGACAAAAGCACTGCATGCAGATTAAACTGACAAGTATTTAAAAGTGTAGAGGAATGTGTTTAGATGCCCAGAACTTGTAGTATCTGTTGTAGCCCAGTGCGGCTGCTGACAATTAATGTGTTCACTTTTTAAGAAGGTAAGATGACTTTATAGATGCATTGCCATGGGTTGAATACATTAATCATTTTTCCAGTGCACTGTATTAATTATAGATGAGCTTGTTTTTAACTATACAAATATCCAAAAGAATGTGGCTCTTAAAGCTTAATCTGTACAACATTTTTACATTACTATTACTATTTACTATTACACATTGTGTGTTTGCTGTACAAATTATTAGTAAAAGTACAGAGAGGAAATGTATTTATAGAATTCAATACTGGCAATATATTGCTACCTCATAATAACCAGACAGATTTGTGTTTTTGTGTGTGTATTTTGAGGGTTTTAATGTATTGTATAAAATTTGTGCTTCTGTTTTGTTTTAAGTAATATCATTTTCATCTGCAACAATGAAAATTATCTATTGGCATCAATAGTCCTCGTCTTGTTAGATGCTCTTCATTTGTTGCTCTTAAAAGTGATTGGCATTGGGAAGGGGGGAGTGTATTGATGAATACAGAGACATATCTTATTCTCAGGCGAAAACAAATGCTCAGGGAAATGATCTTTATAGGGTATAAACTACGAGCCAGGCCTGGAGTCTGCAGAGATGCCATTAATTTACTTTGAATTTTACTTAGTATGCAGGGGTTAGAAAGGACAAAAATAGTGTGAGTAGACCAAAGACTAAGACGTAATTTTTTTGTTGAGAAAGGGCTGAGCTTTCCTGTTTGACAGTAATTAATTGGGGAATAAAAAGCATATGTAGCTCCTGTCAAACATTTCTGTAGTAGGATTGCAATGTTAGACTGGCCTCACAAAGTACTGTTACTACAAGGCCTGAATGTGTTTTTCTTCTGTCCACCTAGGGGAGCACCGCTGGTGGGGGGAGGATGCGGAAGAGGAGCCAGGAGGAGTCTGATAGCGAGGAACACAGTCCTGATCCAGATGAGGACGATGAAGACGAGCACGCTGAGGAACAACCGCCCCCGCCGGCCACTGCATCCTGGTCCAGCGACCATAATTACATTGCAGTAACACCAGAAAAGACTACACCCATATCACCAACAGTGTTAAACAAAAAGTGTATGTATCTCTTTGAAGGTCTTGGAATTGCTGTTTTTCCATTATGAATGTGGTTCTTGTCATGCTAACATCGGTTAGAAATGAGCCATATGTTTGGGAGGAACATGATGAACTCATCTGTGACTTTTTAATGCTTTGCAAGGTGTTTTGAGTTATCAGTTTAAAGGCTTTGTTACTCAGTGAAGTGTTGACAGCTGTGGAAAAGGTAAGTGTCATCTGTGGCTTTGGGTAAGTATTTAATAATCCAGAACATATTTGTTTTCAAAGGGGCATTCTGTAGATTGCACACAGTGAAATCACGTTATAAGTGAAGGTGGAATACTACTCAGCCTGTCACAATAGTTGTGTAATGTTCTGTGGCTCTGGATGGGCTTTGACAAGTCTGACAAACCAACCCTGATGATGATATCAGGGCTGTCTCGGCTCGGGGTCATTCAAATCTTAATAGGAAGGCAGCATAACAAAATAGAGGCAGTGCTTTGAGAGATGTAGGAAGTTAGCAGACACTTATTATGGGAATTGTAAGATCCAGTGTTGGATGCTTTTTTTTCTCCTTGACCCATATGGTCTGAAAGTCAGGATACCTCGGCCTTAGCAATGAGATTTGGTAATTTCTTTAATGCCACCCTTGAATCCCTCAACTTTTTGGAAGTGCAACACTAAATTGCTGGAAGCACCCCTTATGAATACACTGGGGATAAAATGAGGGGAAAGTAGATAAAAGCTTATAAAGGAATGTGATCCCAATCTCTCAGTAGATTATCTTTAGAGGAGATGTATGGTTGTGACAGATAGAATGGTCTCTGTGCGTATTTGGGGCATGATGTAAATTACTTGCTTTATTTGCTTCTGTGAGCTTCTCCACGTCCTGGTTCATCACTTCAGCTGTTGGTCCCAATAATGCCCCCCCCCCCTCCCTTTTCAGCAGGTAGGTGTCTGACTACCCCCATGTTAATGTGGGCAGATGACGCTAATATAGCTCATAATGAGCTGTTAAGCACAGCTTTTTTTTCCCCTTAACTGCCCTTCGTTTTGTGGGTTACAAATTGAAAAAAGTCAAGTTTTTAATTCATTTTTCATATGATGCATCACTTCTCATGGGAAACTGGCTTTAAAATAAAAGGTGATTTAACAGATTTTTGGATGCCTGGATTGATTATGTGAGCAGTGTTGGCTTGCTGTAGGATATCCTGACACTTCAGCTCAAACAAATTTATACAACTGATTAATCTGTGCACACTGGAGCTGTGACACCTCAGAGCCCCGAGATGGTGAATAGTCAGAAAAGAGGGAACCTCTGGCCGACCACTCCACCCACACTGCTGTGACAGACCACACCACCTGGCGATGCTGCACTGAAGCTAAGGAAGACCACAGCCGAAGAGAAGCTCAAGTCCAGACCCAAGAGCACTGAGTCAGAGGAGGGAGATGTTTTCACACACATTTTGCACCTGATTGGATATATTTATATTGTTGGGAAAATAAGTTTCATTGAAATGTGGACTTTTCACCCCTCCTTTATAAGAGGTTTTTGAAGGCACTATAAGGATATAAAATCATAGGACAGTATCTGCTTATGTTTTGTAAATTGATCCTGTCACTTCAGGAGATCAGTATGATCAGTGATTAATGTGTGATTGGTAGTAAAATGTTGCTTAGTCATGGGCCCTATTTTGCTGTTGTGATTAGTATGATAACCTATGATCCTCAAAGTGGCTGACCTTGGTTGCTCTTGGTCTCTACTCACACATCATTATGTTTAATGTTTTATACATTTTAGTGGGTGCAGTGTGTTGTGTGGCTAATGCATATACTATTGTGGCCTTAATGTGATGTGGAGATGATAGACTAACATTGTAGATGAGTTGAAAGCGATTTTGCAAGTTGTGTTGTCATTAGGCTTGGTGCGAAGTAGTTGATGTACTTTATATATTTTATGTGAATGTTGATAAGAAATGTATTCATGTTTACTGCACCCATTATTCAAATGACAAGAATTAACCACCTCGGGTCTAGTTGTTTTGAGGTCAGATCTCATACCTTTATGAGCAGGTAATAGTTTTTATAGCTGACTTGTGATACGTTATATTTTTAGACTTGCAGGTTTAGGATGAGTAGAGTTAATTATTCCCCAATTACATTGTGATTTTTATTCAGATGCATTGTTTTGTTTTGTTTTGTTTTAGTATGCAGTGACTCAGGTGAAGTAAACATTTCAGCCTGGTTGGTTGATGCAGCTTGTCCTGTGCCAGTGAGTGAACATGGTGTTTTTAGTGTTTTCTTTAGCAGGTACTGATCATAAGGTTTTCTTAAAATTATGAACAAGACAAGTGTCAGCTCTTTATTTCCTGTTTGGATATATGCATACTGAGAGTACAGCTGTTTTATGAGGTGGTATTTAATTCCTCTTATTGAAAACTAAGGCAGCCTCTTGATATCCTAAAAGTTTTTTTTTTTACAGCACAATGTATTGGTCATCCACTAGTACAAATAAAAAAGGACTATATCTGCTTAGTTGTCAACTTTGTGTTTATTTCACAATGTTTAGTTCTTTAAATATTGTATATTTTGGCTTGTTAAAACTTTCATTACATTTTACTAATTTGTAACATTTTGTGATTTGAGTTATTGGCATTGAAGTTGGATGTTGTCATAATTTGCTTTTTTTAGTCATGGCATTTGAGTGCTACATGCCAAATGATATTCTGCATACTGTCACTACATATCACAGACCTGATATTGTAAATGATTTAAAAATGTTCTCTCTTGTTCTTGATTTGCAGCCCCTCCCAAAGAAGAGAAGCAGAGTGAGAAGGAGCACAAAGAGAAGGAAGCAGCCCCGGCTCCTGAGAAACCTTCCTTAGCATCTGCAACACCGGTCAAAGGAAACAAGAAATGCCCAACCACTAAAGTAGCCAAGGTTTCCCCAAAGCGCAAGAAGTCTTCCCCTCAAAATACCACCTCAAAAGCATCCAAGAAAACTGTGACAACTCCAAGCAAAACTGCAGCAAAGTCTAAGAAACCAAGTACTCCACCTGCCCGTCCCCCGGTTCCCTTCCCTCCAGGTCCAATCCATGTCACAGGAGCATTGAGAGTCACCAAATCAAACTTCACCATTCCTAAGAAGCAACCACAACAGAAGGACTCTCCATCCCACAGTCAGTCCTCTTCATCCTCCAGAGTCCCATCATCTCCAGTTTCTTCACCTCCCCCCAGCCACTCCTCATCCTCCAGACCCCCACATCCAGCTGCTTCAGCACCTCCTGTGTCCCCCATGCCGCCTCCGCCAAACAACCAGATGAGACAGAACATCCGCCGCTCGCTCACAGACATCCTCTATAAGAGGTAAGTGTCCCACAAAGCCCAGTTCAGGAAACCTTTATAATTTCTACAGTAAATCCTTGGCTTAACACATTCAAGCACCAGTATGCTGTCTTCCTTGCTACCAGGGTGACTGACAGTGATGATCTGAAAATGACTGAGGGTGAGGTGGGAAGGCTGGCATATGCCATTGAGAAGGAAATGTTCAACCTCTGCCTTAGCACTGACAGCAAGTACAAGAACAAATACAGGTCCCTCATGTTCAACCTGAAGGACCCTAAAAACAAAGTGAGTCAACACAGACATGCATGAAGCTTATACTTGCAAAGAAATATAATTCTGTTTGTGTTTATTAGTTTTTATTTGAAGGTATCACCTGCACCTTGAAAGACTCAGCTTTTCTCATTTTATATGACTTCCATCATGTAGAGTTGTTAAATAACTGGGGTGTTTCTCTCAGGGCTTGTTCTACAGGGTGGTGGGCGGTGAGGTTAGTCCCTTCAGACTGGTGAGACTGAGTGCTGAAGAGCTGCTTTCCAAAGAGATGTCTGAATGGAGAAAGCCTGATGCTTCTGGGGTAATGTTAATCACCTTTAACTAAATGCAAAGCATGGGGCAATGACATGTAGAATTAAGAGGTTTTGTATTTGGCATTTAGAGCACCATTTTAAACATTTACATAAAGGAGCTGTTCTATATTATGCATAAAACTGCAACAGACTGTATGGTTGTCTCCTGCAGGCCCAGTCTCCCACTACAAGACTGCATTCAGGGCAGTCCAGACTGGGCAACAGACCCGACTCTAGCTCTCATAGCATGGATATGGAGGATGCTCCACCAACATCTGATGCAGATGTATGTATCTCTGCCCCCACTTCCTCTACTCGCATGGCTTCTGCTGCTGTAAGTGGTAGCATGCTTTTCTTCTGTAGCTCTCACACCTTTTTTTCCACTTTTGCATGGAGGTCCTGGCTTTCAAACTGTAGCCAAGATATCACTATTTAGTTACGTTGCCAGCGGCCCATTCTTCATTGCAGTTTTTCTTTCTGAAGCTTTATCTTTCTTAATTGTTTGCACTAAACCTACAGTTGTGCATATCATAGTAATTGAGAATTATTGTGCTGTGTGAGGGATTATAATCTATTATAGTTGATCTGAGAATTGACAGATTCTCTTTTCTGTGTCAGGAGCAAGACGAGTCTGGCTCCACTCCTTCAGTTTCAGCACAGGCCTGTGTTGCTGAGGGGAACAGTGGCAGCAGCATGCCAGACATTTTCAGTAGCATGCTCAAAGACACCACTTCAGAACACAGGACTCATCTGTTTGACCTCAACTGTAAAATATGCACAGGTAAATAAGAGGTTGATGGTGAAAGGGTAAATATTCCTCCAGTGAATTAATAATTTGTTATATAATGATACAGTATATACAACAGATAACTTTATTAGTTTTTCCATCTTTCCCTCTAGGTCAGAAGATGGAAGATGAGCCAGCAGCTAAGAAAGCCAAACTGAACAAGAAGCCTGAAACTAAGTCACCCAGACAAGACCTACATTCATCAAGGTCAGGGGATCTCTCTCCTGTTGGCCAACCACAGGGCACAGCCTATCAGCACCAAGACCCCTTAGTCTACCAACATCCGGCCCCTTCATTGTACCAGTCCAACATGGAAGCAGCTCTCTCTGAATCACAGCCACAGCTTTACCAAGAGGAACCCAGTATGATAGCACCTCCAGCCCAGGCCTCCACAGCTGTTGCCCCCACTGTTTCCTCTGTGACCATCACCCGCAGGGACCCACGCATGGCTAGACACAGCTCTGTTGTGAATGTCACCTATACAGCTCCAGAAAAGCCCTCCAACAGCTCAGCAGAACCACTCCCATCTCCTGTTAGTCCTCTGGTGGAACTTGGACCCAAGCCACCACTGCCAATGCCCCCAGCACCACCACCTTCAGTGGCTGTTTCCAAATCAGTTAAAACAAGGTAATATTTCTCATACTGGTAATATATTTTATATATAGTGTGATAAAGGTGAGAATATAAATTTAAAATTCAGTTTTATTGGTGTTGCTGCAGTAGAGTCGCTCTGTTATGAAAAGCCCTATATATGATAAACTGTGTACAGGTCTGAGGTCTGGCTTTTGATGCTTATCTAAAAGGTAGATGGTTTTGGTTTTACAGTACATCTGAGCCTCCTCCTGAGGGTGAGACCGCAATCTTCCTCCATGGTCAAGAAAAGATTTGGAAAGGATTTATCAACATGCAGTCAGTGGCTAAGTTTGTGACCAAGGCTTATCTGGTCTCGGGATCCTTTGAACACCTGAAGGAGGTTAGTAATTGTTGCTAATTATAGGAGAAGACTAATTTGTCACATCAAATATAAATTATTAATGAATACAAAACTTTGTATAAAAGCTAAAGTACCATTCATGGTTCTGTCAATGTTGTGCAGGATTTGCCAGACACCATTCATATTGGGGGACGGATATCTCCAAACACAGTGTGGGACTATGTTGGGAAGCTGAGAACATCACTCTCCAAGGTGTGTTTGCACAAAGATCAGCTTGCAGAAAAGCACTTAACATTTTTAATTTAAAGGGCTTGATTTGCTTACATGCTGGTTTTTGCTCTCTCTTAAATCCATGCTCACAGGAGCTGTGTCTGATCCGTTTCCACCCAGCCACAGAGGAAGAGGAGGTGGCATATGTCTCTCTCTTCTCTTACTTTAGCAGCAGGAAACGCTTCGGCGTGGTGGCCAACAACAACCGCCGCATCAGAGACCTTTATCTCATCCCACTAGGCTCAAAGGACCCTTTACCCTCCAAATTATTACCATTTGATGGGCCAGGTAAGTATTTACAGGGATCCACAAATATGTCTTTGTGGTTACTTGAATGTATTTGTTTTAATGTTATCTTGTTCAGTTATGGTGTTTTTCTTTGTCTTTTCATACATGTGGTGAGTATATTTAGTTCCCAGTTTTTGGACTCAGGTTGAAATGAGAGCTATTGGATTTGTGGGTTTGAACTGTAGGGGGCACTCACACTCCTTTTTGAGTCTTTTCTGGACAATACCTCTGTGCATGTAGCAGTTGCTGTGTTCTCTGATATGTATCTGACTTTGTATGGCACATTTCTAATAAAGCAAGTTTTCATTGCAGATTGGTGCCATTTGAGTCCAATCTCACCCTGTTTTTTAAGACTTGGCTCAATTTTAACATAATTGAATGTGTATTCTCAATAAACTTCTATGAGGTAACTTGTCCATCACTTTATATTATGCTGTTGATTTTATGGTAACTTGCTGCACTGCTGGAAAAACACAGTAACATCCTTAAAAGTGCACTCCTAAATGAACAGTCAGTACATAATGCAGTCAGTGATTGCGAAACACTCTTAACACACATGGCATTTGCAGCTGCGGTAAGTAAAAGGTTGTCCATCTCAGAGGGTCTCAAACATAAGTAGATCTATTCTTGCACAGAAAATTTTGATTAAATTTATCTTTAAATTATTTAATGACTTCAAAAAAATTTGATTATACTTCTATTTGTCTGATGTTTTAGTAAACAGGCTGGTAATAATCCCAAATCAAATTTGAATAGGAACTCATTTATGGATGGATGATACTGGAATTAACCATAACAATATCATAGTTGACCATCTGGTGCAGTCATTTTAGCAATTTTGTTATGCCAACTTATGGGTGCAGTCAGCGGATCTTTTTTAGTTTGTATGTTGGGTATATCTGGCAGAACATCTACAAACCACCTCAATTATTTATCTGCAGCTGGTGCCTGTTTACCAATGAGTGCAACTTTTTTTTAACTTTGCAATTTAAAGTTGCAAACAGGTGTAACACCTACTGACTTGTTGCAAAAATGTGAGCAAGGAGTGTTGCACAGTTGTATTTGTTCTATAAAACAGATTTATGTGCTGTTTTCTGTGTGTATCAAACATTTTTAAAAGCTCTCATTTCACCTGGTGTCTACGTTAGTCACAAATGCTCACACCCTAATCACACCTTTTTGTTCTAGCAGTTTTATGGAAAGTGTGGTAGTTTTTTTTGTCAAAGTGTATCAATAAGTTGACATGGAAGTGTTTTCAATGATTCTTTTTTTTTTTTTTTTTTTTTTTTTTTTTTTTTTTTTTTTTGTTACCCTTAAAATAGTCAGCCCTGAAGGACTCGAACCAGCTCGTCCCAACCTCCTCTTGGGGCTGCTGATCTGCCAGAAAGACAGAAAGCGTGCTGGGCCTCCATTAGAAACTGAGGAGAAACGATCCAAGACTCAAACCAAAGATCCTGATGACACTGGCCTTCCAAAGCCCTCTCCTTCAGTTAGAGCAGAGAGGAGTGCACAGCAGAGTCTGGAAATTCCCTTAAGCACAACTCCTCCAGGATCACCTCCATACAGCTTCTCTGAGACCTCAAGCAGCAATGTGACAGCCTCCTCAGTCCTTTCCCTTTTGTCCTCTGTCAAAGCTCCAGCGACATCCACTGTCACAGGCAAGGACTCTCCATCCTCATCCAGCTCTGTTGCTTCTTCTGCAGCAGCTGCCACTCCTCTTCAGACCATCCTCAATACTCTTTTTAGGAAGAAAAAGCATGACTCAGATGCTTCTAACTCTCCATCTGATCAGGGAGGGGAACTCTCTATCCCACCCTGTACAATGTTAGACCCCATTGTGCAGAAGTTTGCACAGACTTCTAAAGAGAAACCGGTGGAGGAGGATGAAGATGACCGACCATATGACCCGGAAGAAGAGTATGACCCTAGCAGAGGCTACAGTGTGCCTAAGAAGCCCGTTGAGGTTGTAAGCAAACCTGAGCCAACCAAGCAGTTTGAGGTGGTAGTGAGTGAAGCTGATGATGTTGCATATGACCCAGAGGATGACTCTATCTTTGAAGAAGTTAAAACTTTAGTACCGGGTCAAGCTAAGCCTGCATCCAAATGTGTAACTGGTCCACAAAAGGTCCAGGAGATCCTTAAACAGACTGGTGATCAATCATTCCAGAAACAAGGAGAACAGCAAATTTCTTCCACAGGAACACCTGATGCCTCACTGACACTTCCAGACACGCTCTTAACTGAACCGACAAAATCCCTTTTGGCCAGTAGTCAGCTTCTGCAACTTGGCAAAAAGGTTGAGGAACTTGTGAAGTCTTCATCAGTTGCTCCCTTGATCAATCTGAGCAGAGATCCCAGACAGAGCAGAGATCCTCGCCAGCCTGCAATCGACAGGAACCTGACAGATGAACCCAAAGTGAAAGAGGAGACACCTCCTGTGTTGGCAGACTCTACTCCCCCCGCACAGCCTGTGGTTCAAAAGAGACAGCTGCCTGATGTTGCTGAACTCCCAGAGCTCTCACAAACCCCGGAGACATCACTGTCTCAAGAAGAAATAAAAAGTGAGGCACTACCTTTCGTAGAGTCAGACAAGGTGGAAGTGTCAATTCCTTTATTAGGAGAGGAGGTGGAACCTGATACTGAGGTGAACTACATGGATGAGAAAAAAGTGAAAAATGAGAAAGCTGAGCCCATCAAAATAGACACAGAGATGGACAAGTACAATATTTGGCCAAACGCTGCCAGTATTTTAAAAGCTGGTGAGGATTCAGAGTATGAGGAGAATAGCCAAGATACACCAACTACAAGTTATTATAATGAGCCTGAAAACACCTCCACAATCACATCCACAATCCCAGTACTCACTCAGTGCACAACAATGGTTGACACTCAGTCCCATCACATGCCGCATCACATGTCAGTGCCAGGTTTTGACAGCAAGTACAGACCTCCAGCTGACATTCCTCCACCATCCAACTTCCCCCCACCTCATCCAATACAGGGACAAAACATGAGGCCTCCACCAATGTCTATACCACCGCCCATGCAAGGACTTCCCCCCATATCAGGACCCCCTCCCATTCAGGGACCTCCCCCACCCATCCACGTTCCTCCGCCTGTACGTGGTCCTCCCCCCATGCAAGCTGACATCAATCAGCAGTATGGCCCACCTCCAGCTTCATACCCACCCTATCAGAACCAATGGACAGGCCAGCCACCGCAGCTGCAGCAGCATCTTCCTGGACCACCGCCACAGAATATCTTGCCGCCCAGAGGACCACCACCACCACCATTCCCCCCCATGGCCCAGAGAGGCCCTCCTCCTCAAATGTTTGATCCCTCCATTCCCCCACAGCACATTGGTCAACAAGGCCCTCCTCCAGGTCTTCCCCCACCCTCTGCTTTTGATGGACAGAACAGCTTACCTCCACCCAGATTCACTGGTCCTCCACCACCTTTTAATTTCTCTGCAAACAGAGGTCCTCCTCCACCTTTCACAGGGCCACCTCCTGGTCACTTTGATAACAGGCTTCCCCCTCTGTCCCACTTTCCAGGACCTAGGGGTCCCCCACCATCTCAGTACAGTGACCTTGGGGCCCAACCCTCAATAGTAGACCAGCCTCGAGGCCCTGTGGAACAGTATAACAAAGACACCACTGCTAACTCTTTCAGTCTAAATGTGGATCAGAATCCAAACTCTGTCCATATTTTTAAAGACAATCAAGGTCCTCTGCCAGGTCCAGGATACCGTGGGCCTCCACTTACCCAGTATGAGGACAAAAGAGGCCCACCTTCAAGTGGGGAGCCAACTGGGCAACACTTCAATCCACATCACCAGTATGGGGGCTCCAGACCACACTCCTCACCTCCACATCGAGGATCTTTTGAGGAGCATCGAGGTCCTCTCCCCCAGGAGAGTAGGCCGCTCCCTTCTCTGCCGTTTGCAGGATCAGAGCGATACTGCTTCGATAGGCACTCAGATGAGCCTAGACCTGTTCGGCACAGTGGGCCACTCCTGCCAACTCCTCCAGAGGGTCCCATAGGTCCTCCAATTCACATGGGAGGCCACAGTCCAGATATGCACAGGGATGACCACTGGCGCCGCCTCTCTCCTGAAATAAGGAGGAGAAGCAGTACCACCCGTGAGGAGTCAGAACCTCACAGTGGAGATCGCATCAGTCGCTTTGAAGGAGGGCACCGAGAACCTGCTTCTGGTCCCCTGCAACCATCTGAAGACAAACAGAGGGAGCTGTCTGAGGATCGCAGGAGGGAAAGGGAGAGGGACGTCCCCCACACTGTCAGGCCTTCATGGGACAGGGGACAAGGGAAGCATTGGAGCCGAGAGCGAGAGTGGGACAGAGGCAGAGAAAGGGACCGGGATCGAGAGCGTAGTCGAGAAAGAGACCGCAGCAGAGGGAGAGAAGGTGAGAGGCACAGGGAGACGGAGGGAGAGCGACACAGGGATCCAGAGACGGACAAGAGGAGAGACCGGGAGAGAGACAGGGAAAAAGACAGAGGGACTACGACCGTGACAGAGTGAGAAACCGTGACCGAGAACGTGACCGAGAACGTGACCGAGAGCGTGACCGTGACCGTGACCGTGACCGTGACACTGTTTATGACAGGAGACGGGACAGATCTAGAAGCAGAGAGCGAGACCGGGATCGGGAACGTGGGAAAGACCGAGGCAGGGACAGGGACAGAGAGAGGGATAGAGAGAGGGAGAGGGATAGGGATAGGGACCGGGACAAAGACAGAGGTCGCCGAGACAGGAGCAGAAGCAGGGAAAAGAGAGAGGAGAAAAAGGACAGTAAACAGTCCAAGGAGAGTGATAAAACTACAGAAAATGACAAAACAACGTCCTAGTCTCCATTTCATGGACTGCATTAGTTTTGAGAGTCTTAAATCTTTCAGCAGTTGAAATCAGTGTAAATGTTAATGAGCAGTATTTTGTTAAATTTCCAGTTTTGTTCCTACTAGAAAAATACATTTGACATTTGTATTCTTTGTCACTTCGAGGTTTGTTTGTTTAATCACTTCTGGAAAAAAACAGCTAAAGGGCCATGTAAGTTGCTTGTGTACAGTGTGTTAAGAAGCCTGCAGTTCTGTCAGAGCATTGTTTTAAAAAAGACAACAAACCTGTTCCAGACTAACACACCATTTGCGATATGTAAATATGAATGTATTTGTGTATATACTGATGTTTTTAACCATACTTTTCTAAGTAGAGAAAATAAAAGCCATATATCTGAGATGGATAATGTGAAAGGAAACGCTGTTGACACACAACTGGGTGTTTACATGTCTAACAGCTTTGAACTATAAGGCCCCAACAGTCTACAGTATACACCCTATCAGTGGTTGTTAATGGAATGTCCTGAGTTTGTTTCGGCTCAACTAATTAAACCAGTCTGATGACACTGGTGTTATGTTATTTATTACACATTTTGTGCAGACTCTTATGAATTACAGCTTGGTTCCAAAGTAATACAAAGTTTCTTTGCATTCATGTTGCTTCAATCATCCCAGAGTGAATTACATCACAGAACATTAGGCCAGTGCATACAGTAAAAAAAAATGCCTTGTGCTTTTGCAGTACTCATCCACAAAGATATTTAACTGCTTTATGATATCATAGGTCATACTTAAATCACAGTTTAAAGTAGCCTCAAAGTATTCTCAGCCCTTTGCTTTTTTACAATTTACTGTGTTGTAGATTTCATTTTAAATACATAAAATGTTGCCTCTCAATGTACACTCACAAAGTAAAAACATTTTTTAGAAATATTTGTATATTTACTGGAGATCAAAAACTGAAATCTCGTGCACAAAGTATTCACCTTAATTAAGTGCTTTGGAGAAACTTGGTACAAAATATTGAGAGCAAAGTCTTAAATGTAACCTTACAAGATGTGATAATAGCCTTATATCTGGCAGCTTCTACAAAGAGCAGACACACCTTGGGGGGCTAAAGACAAGACAGATATTGGAGGAACCTGATCCTTTAAGAACTTATATGCATGATTAAAGTGCTTGATTGATAATTTATATGTTTGTCTCTTATCCATACAGTTGAAGTCAGATGTTTACATACTTTCTTGTTAAACCTTGGCACACTTGTTTTGTCAAGTCAGTTAGGACATGTACTTTATGCTTGACAAGTATTTTTTTTTTTTTACATACACTCAGTTCGCTGCATCCTTAAACAGCCCGGAAAAGCAATTTCCAAACACCTGAAGGTACCACGTTCATTGGAAACAAACAATACTACACACGTATAAACACCATGGGAAAACGCAGCCATCATACCACTCAGGAAGGACACGTGTTCTGTCTCCTAGAGACAAACGTACTTTGGTCCAAACAGTACAAATCAATCCCAGAACAACAGCAAACCGAATACACTGGAGGAAACAGGTACCAAAGGATCTATATCCACAGTAAAACGTGTCCTATAGCTCAGCCAGGAACACGCCAATATTCCAAGACCGCCACAAAAAAGGCAGACTACGGTTTGTAACTGCACATGGGGACAGAGATCTGACCTTTTGGACAAATGTCCTCTGGTCTGATGAAACAAAAATGTAACTGTTTGCCCATAATGACCATCATTATGTCTGGAGTAAAAAGGGGGTGGCTCGCACACAGAACAACACCATTCCAACCATAAAAGCACGGGGGTGGCAGCATCATGTTGGGCTTTGCTGCAGGAGGGACTGGGGCACCTCACCAAATAGATGGCATCATGAGGAAGGAAGTGGATATATTGATGATTGGATATATTGAAGCGACATCTCAAGACATCAGCCAAGAAGTTAAAATGTGGCCACCAATGTGTCTTCCAAATGGGCAATGACCCCAAGCAGACTTCCAAAGTTGTGGCAAAATGGCTTCAGGACAACAAAGTCAAGGCATTGGAGCGGCCATCACAAAGGCCTGACCTCAATCCAATAGAACATTTGTGGGCAGAACTGAAAAAGCATGCGCGAGCAAGGAGGCCTCCAAACCTGACTCAGTTCCACCAGTTCTGTCTGGAACAGGCTCAGATTCCAGCAACTTATTGTGAGAAGCCTGTGGAAGGGATCCTGAAACGTTTGACCCAAGTTCAACAGTTTAATACTGACTGAGTGTATGTAAACTTTTGACCCATTGGGAATGTGGTGAGAGAAATAAAAGCTGAAATAAGGTGTATGTAAACATACGACTTCAACTGTAGATCACTTTACTGCAGTTGGACAGTATTATTAAATGCAACAGAGGCAGTACAAAACCACTATGGAACATTATTTTGACCATAAACTCTACTAAAACTTTGTGAAGATAATCAGATTATATATGCACTATACTGTTATTTTAAGAAGAATAAATGAATGAGTAATGTGATCATTTTCTACAAGGCAGCTTTGTAGGAAATAACATGAACATACTGAATAAGAAACAAGAATGAAAACTGAAGAAGATTTAATCACAGTGAAGCTGATGATTGCTTGTTAATTTTCACATCCTACCCAACACCATAGCACAAGTGTTTGTTTTACATAAAGCTCAGTTGTAATATAATGTAGTTTAGATCCTGCACATTTTATCAGAGCAAAAAAAAAAGATCAATTATGGAGAAAATTCCAGAAAAATTAAACGGTAAACACCAAAGTTAATAGACATTTGTACGAGTAACTATGCTGTGATTCAGTATATAGAGAGAAATGAAATGGGTCCTAGGGCTGGATAATTTAACTGCATTAATTTAGCAGACTTGCATAAGCTGTTTAAGCTTTGCAGTTATCTCCTCCATCAGCTGCTATGAAGGCAAATCTCCTGCAACTGTTGCTCTACAGATGACTCATGTCAACCTCACATGTGTCGTTTTCCCCATTCGTTCTCTTCTGTGGTTTGGACGCTGACCACATCATCTGCAGTTTCACTGGACACCACACAAACTCATCTTTAGGCTCATAGTGCAAATAAGCAAACTTGATGAGACGCCTGCGTTGCCTCTTATCGAGTACAGCAAACACAAAGTAGCTGAGGACACTCTCCTTGACACGTGGAAGTTCTCCGTTAATGAGTGTCTCCTTCAGGAAGAACAGTACCAGGGGGTATTGGTACTGAGGGTACCCCAGGGTTCCCAGGCACTTCAGGATGCGGGTGATGCGCAGGTTGTTGTGAGTGTGGCTGTCAGAGATAAACAGTAAATGTTTTTTTTTTTTTTTT